AGTAGAAGCTCCATTGTTTCTCTTGTGATAGTGAGGTGAAAACTCAGATCTTCACTCTTGTTTTGACAATAGATACCTTCACGTTGTTTCCTTCGGGTAGACGGTGTTCCCTATATCCTTGCCCCTTGGAGCAACTGAGTTTTGGGTTGTATGCTCTGTTGGGTGTCAAGGATGGTAAACCGAAACATCTAGGCTTCAACATCCATGTGAATTCCCCATGTCGCTTGTTGTGTCTGAATCTTCTCCTTTACTTCAATAGTGTAAATGCCCCCTACATCATTTCCTTCGAGTAGATGGTGCTTTCCTATATCCTTGCCCTTTGAAGCAACTGAGTGTTGGGTTATATGCTCCGTTGGGTGTTCAAGGATGGTAAACCGAAACATCTAGGCTTCTGGTCTTGATGTAGATGCTTCCTACTGCTTCTGGTTGTCTCATGAGAGGCCTTTTCTACAATCTTGAGGCTGAGATCTTGGTTAGCTTCGTCGTCGTCGTCGTCGCTGAAGACGAGTGACGGCGTCGAAGCGCCGTTAACGTTGTCTGTGTCATTGTGCTCTATTGCCTTGGCCTTAGACTTCTCCTTGCGCCCCATTCTGTCTCTGCTATTGTAACTTCAGAATTCTAAGTTGCAAACCCTAATAACCTAAGATTGGAATTTGGAGAAAAATATAAAATCATGTGACTCTTTAAATAAATAAATAATAGTAAATTTTTTATTTATTTATCAAGGAGCTTACGAGCTCTCTCGCCTACCTAATCAACTGAATATTTACTATGCAACATAAATATTTATTTTATATAATTACATTTTATGATAAATAAACATTTTAAATATATAATTATATTTTTAATTTATAATAAAAAATAATTTGTGAAATGATTTTTTTTATTATTGAAAATTTTTAAAAACTTATAGAAATTCAAATTCAAAATAAAAATAAGTGATTAAATTAAAGATAAACAATTCAAAAGATGAAGTTAAAAGAATTTCTATAAAAAAAAAAATATGCTAAAAACCTATTTTGGTCTCGTATAATAATTGTTTCTTTCAATTTAATTTCAATGTTATTTTTTGTTTCAATTTGGTCCCTAATAAATTAATTGGTTGTAATATGGGACTTCCATCAAAATTATTTAAACGGAGTTAACTGTTGGCCACGTGAATGCCACGTAGATGCATAGGTGAATGCCAAATTTCATGAATACACCTGGAACCAGAATGACCCGTTTTGAAACCAGAACGATCCGTTCTGGTTGCACTCTTAGTGTGTTAATTTTGCACCTGGAAATGGCCGTTTCAAATGCAAAATTAGCACACCAAGAGTGCAACCAGAACGGGCCGTTCTGTTTCCAGAAAACCAAATACAAACGGTCGATGATTATAGTTCACGGTTGTGAATCGTGCAAGGAAAAAGACCCAAGGTACAAAGCATTTCAAACACTGGATTTGGAAATATTGTCAATGGAAATTGATAACTTCAATTGTTAAACAGTTGGGTTATACAGTGTATCATTAAGGACAATGCAGTGTATCACTAAAGACAATGGTTGCAGATTTTATTTCATTGTTAATCAAACTAGAGTGAACCACTTACTACCAAATTGACACTATACAGTAAAGGATGAAATGACATGGTATTTTTCCTTGAAGTCATTAACGATGTATCCCAACAACAACAACAACCTGTTCTTGAGGAGGTACAACCTGAAGTAAAGGAAGAGGATACACAGGACTAACATTTCACCACACAACCACATGTACAGGTAGATAATGCTGATATCCTATTGCCATTCAGTGTTATCTAGTGGATAAGATGTATTATTGGCACCTTCAGCGTTATCTAGATGATTTCCCTTCTCAGTAATTTCTTTGAACTTTTTTAGTATATGTTATGTTCTGAATTTTTATTTTAAGTCTCTAAACCATATATTTGTTTTTGAATTTATGATATGTTATGAATTTTTATTTTTAATTTTTGAATCACATTGTGGCATTTTGGTCAACGCAGGCATGAAGTTGGCGTTCTGGAACGGGCCGTTCTGAATCCAGAACGGTCCGTTCTGAAACCAAAACTGTCCGTTCTGATTTTAGAATGGACCGTTCTGCTGCACTCGTGATGTGTTAATTTTGCATCTGGAACGGCCCGTTCCAGATGCAAAATTAACACACCAAGAGTGCAACTAGAACGGTCCGTTCTGGTTTCAGAACGGGTTGTTCTGGTTACAGGTGTATTCAAGAAATTTGGCATCCACGTGGCATCCACCTATGCATCTACATGACATTCACGTGGCCAACAGTTAACTCCGTTTAAATAATTTGGACGGAAGTCCGACATTGCAACCAATTAATTTATTAGGAACTAAATTGAGACCAAAAATAAAAGTGGGACTAAATTGAAATAAACAATTATTATAAGGAACCAAAATAAGTTTTTAGCCAATTAAAGAAAAGCTCCTAAAAATAATATTACATATTAAGTGTTTCATATATAAAGAATGGGATTTGGTTCTTCTTAAGTAAAGAGGATTCACTTTAAAAAAATATAATATAATAACAATCATTAATTAAAAAATTAATGGTAAATATTATAACTAATTATAAATTTTAGGTTAAATTATATTTTTTATCCTCATTTTAATTTTTTTTTAATATTCATTATGGTTATTTATCTATTAAATTTGAACTAATTTGATCCTTTTGAAACAATTATTATTTTCAATTTTAAAATATGATTTTAGATTATTTTTTGACTAATTCAAGACTTGAAATTTATCTCATTAGGTTCTTGTATTAAAATAGTTGAATGCAACTAAAGTTCAAATAAAAATGTATTACAGACATTATGAAAATTGCATAAAAACAAGTCCAAAAGATAATTAAAATTTCAAAAAATATACT